ACACCCAGGTCCGGCGGGCGGGAGGCCCTGCTCTCCGCCGCCTGCCTCCGTCGCCCACCTGGCTGCACAGATCTGGAAGAGAAGGCCCCGGAACGCAGGCACGGGGACCCGCCTGGTGGGCGTCCAGGGCTCCCGCAGCTGCTGCCCACAGGCCTCACGGCCGGCTCACGCGGGTCCCCTCCCAGAGCGCCTCCCGGGTTAAGGGAACCCTCTGCACCTGCCCCGAGGGGAAGGTGAAGGAAAAGCCCAAAGGCCGGGGTGGGGGCTGCCCCCGACAGCCACGAGGGCCGTGCCTGGCCCCGGGAGCAGGGGACGCACCAGGAGACCTCGTGTCCGCTGTTTCACCCCCTTCAGCCCACGGAGCCCTGTGGTCACCCTCTTGCAAGTGCATGGTCCTCTTCCCGACACCACCACGAAGGAAAGACGCCAGTGCCACGGGCTGACCGTGGCCAGAGCCGCCAGCCCAGCGTGCAAGTTCTGCAGTTTCCACCTGCTCACCCCTCTTTTCTAGCATGAGCTGCACGGCGGCTCGGCCTGGCGTCCTCTGAGGGCGAGGACCACGCGAGCCGCTCACATTTCACCTCCAGAATAGTAAGCGCTTAACAAAGGCGCACTTAGGCCGGGCGCAGTGGCTCACATCCGTGGTCCCAGCACTCTGGGAGGCCGAGGCAGGAGGATCGCTCAAGGTCAGGAGTTGGAAACCAGCCTGAGCAAGAGCGAGACCCCATCTCTACTAAAAATAGAATGAAATTAATTGGCTAACTAATATATATAGATAAAATTAGCCGGGCGTGGTGGCGCATGCCTGTAGACCCAGCTACTCGGGAGGCTGAGGCAGGAGGATCGCTTGAGCCCAGGAGTTTGAGGTTGCTGTGAGCTAGGCTGACGCCACGGCACTCACTCTAGCCTGGGCAACAGAGTGAGACTCTGTCTCAAAAACAACAAACAAAAAAAAAACCAAAGACGCACGAATTTGTATGCTCAACAGACAGGGATGGAGGGAGGGAAGGAGAGAGAGAGGGAAGGACAGAGGGATGGAAGGATGGAGGGATGGAAGGAGGGAGGGAGGGAAGGACAGAGGGAAGGAAGGAGGAAGGGAGGGAGGGAGGGAGGGAAAGAGGGAGGGAGGGAAGGACGGAGGGATGGAAGGGAGGGAGGGAAAGAGGGAGGGAGGGAAGGACGGAGGGATGGAAGGACGGAGGGATAGAAGGACGGAGGGAGGGAAGGACGGAGGGATGGAAGGGAGGGAGGGAAAGAGGGAGGGAGGGAAGGACGGAGGGATGGAAGGACGGAGGGATGGAAGGACGGAGGGAGGAAGGGAGGGAGGGAGGAAGGGAGGGAAGAACGGAGGGAGGGAAAGAGGGAGGGAGGGAAAGAGGGAGGGAGGGAAGGACGGAGCGATGGAAGGACGGAGGGAGGGAAGGAGAGAGGGAGGGAAGGACGGAGGGAGGGAAGGACGGAGGGATGGAAGGACGGAGGGAGGGAGGGAAGGACGGAGGGAGGGAAGGAGGGAAGGATGGAAGGATGGAGGGAGGGAAGGAGGGAGGGAGGGAAGGACGGAGGGAGGGAAGGACGGAGGGAGGGAGGGAAGGATAGAGGGATGGATGAACAGAGGGAGGGTCCTGCAGAGTGGACACGACCAGGCAGGGGGCAGTGGGACAGCCCTGGCCCCACACGGCCCCACGGCATGCCACGGCCAGTCAACCCCAACCCTCCCGCCCCTCCCGGGACAGGCCGGCGCCGTTCCCAGCACAGGCCCCAGCGGCGCAGGCACAGGACGCCTCTGCTGCCACTGGCCTCGCCCCCCGGGCCACAGCTCAGCCCACTCTGCAGAGCTCCATGTCCAGAAGAGGGACAGATGCCCCTTCCTCCAGGCTGGGACTTGGGTCACTCCTTGGGGCCAGGGGCCGGGGGAGGCAGGGCCAGCCACCGGTGTCCGCGGTCTGGCATCGCTGAAGGCCGCCGGGCCCATCGGGAACGGCCCAGGCCGCCCTCCCGGGCTGAGCTCAGAAACGATGAGAGATGAATCTGGACCTGCGGAGACGCTCGGCAAGTGTCCCTGAAGAGGTGACAGGGCCACCTGCCCTTCATCCCTGTGGCCAGAGGGACGAGGACAGGCTGAGGACGATCCCTCGCCAGAGCCCAGCAGCTCACAAGTCCCCGCCCTGCTCCGGCCCGTCCTCCTCCCCGCCGGCCGAGGGGCTGGACCCGAGTGCCCGCGTCTGAGCCGGCCTCGGCGTGCAGCGTGTGGGGTACGGGGGGAGCGGGGGCTTTGCTTGTGTCTTCCTCCCCAGAGACGCCAGGAGGCCCCGGCCGAGCAGAACAGTCGGCTCCGATGGCGGCCCCCAGTGGGTGCCGTCCCACGGCCCCGCGCCTCCACTGGCCCCGGTCAAACTGCGCCTGCGAGTGCTAACCGCAGAGGTTTACCCCGGCGAGGACAACACGGAAGGGAGAAAGCAGCGGCACGGGAACCCGGCCAGACCCACAGGGCAAGCGGGGCCCGGGCCCGGCCGCCAAGGCACCAGCCCGCGGCACACGCCGCACACGCCGCACAGGCTGCAGCACACGGCTCGGGCGGGGCCGAGGAGAGGCGCGGCCACGGAGCAGCGGCACCCTCGGGGCGCACGCCAGGCGCCAAGAACTGCACGGACACGGTTTTGCAAACGGGACCTGGAGAGACACTCGCTCGGGCAAAGCTGCGCCCTGGAGACGGCAGAGCCGGGTCCCGTGGGCCACGCAGCCGCCGCTCTGCCTCCCAGGCGCGGGATCGCAGCTTCACAGGACGCAACGGAGGGGAAGTGACGGCGAGGCAGCCGCCCCTCCCTGTGAGGTCGGGTTAGCGCCAGCCGCCGCGGGCGGGGAAACCCTCCAGCCCCCGAGCACCAGCCCGGCGCGGGGATCCCGCAGTGCCGTCACCTCCGTTCCCAGCACCCACCCGTGACTCGCGGTCCAGGCCGCTGTCCGCTCCCAGCCTGCCACGGCAGAGGCCACGGCGTGGCAGACACTGCCACGAGCGCCACAGCGAGGCGCGGGCAGGCCAGAGGCCAGCGCAGCACAGCCCAGAGCCAGCGCCCCTCGCCGGGAACGGCGTACGATCACAGGGCCCCCCTTTGCTCACTCCGGGCCGCACGGCTGGCAGGTCAGATGTTGAGATTAACCCACACGCGTGCAGGTCTCACGTCACTGCATTCCTCCGTGACAAACTTAAAGCAAATGAACTCACGTACCGAATGCGCTGCCTTTGCACGGCCGGCCAAGAAACGGGTTTGGCCGGGGCCTTCCCGTGTTTCTCTCTACACAGTTATTTTAACTACGTTGTGTGTATGAGCGTGTTTGTGAACATGTGAGAGCATGTGTGTGGTGTGCTGTGTCCACACCCGTGTGAGTGTGAGTGGTGTGTCCAATGGGTGCGTGTGAATGCGTGCGGTTTTGTGAATGTGAGCTGTGTGTGTGGGTGGGTCCAAGTGTGCGTGCACCTCTGCGTGTGTGAGTTGTGTGTCTGACCGCGTGTGTGTGCATGTGTTTTCCCGAAGGCCCTTCCACAAAGTCCGGAACTATCCGCCTCTCCCTGGCCCAGGGCATGCCAGGCCAATCCATCCCTGCTGTTCTCAAAGAGCAAGAACAGAAGTGAGTTCCAAACCACTTCAAAACAAACCTGTGGGAACTGAGAAGCCACTTCAGGACAGGAAACCAGCAGAAGCCACTCGGGCTTCCAACTCGCCAGCCCTGTAGACCTGCCCTGGCAGAGGGACGAGTGGCCCCGGACAGGCGTGACACCCCAGGTCACTGCGCAGAGGGGAACTGGTGAGTTACTTAAGAGACAGACGAAAACCTCTAAGCACTGGATGGTCACACAGAGACGGGCTCTTGAGGAGGTCCCCAAATCTCACGTCTGGAGAATTCCAACCCTGAGGACGAGAACCGCCAGGCCCAGGTGCCTCATGGGAAAATCCCAGTCATCCACGCCGACCTGACACTTAGTAGCACATCCAAAAAGGGCTCCTCAGTGCTCTGGTTTCTCTTCAGAGCCTATAAATCTTCCGCCTTTTACCAAAAAGGGCTCCTCTCGGGACTGACTGTCAGCATTTGCAACTGCAAACACAAAAATTCCCTTTGCATCTCACAAATCATGCATTCGCAGAGTATTTCCGTAAACACCGGGTCCCAGATGACGGTCCTCAAATAAATCAGGCAGTAAATACCCGCTACTTCCCATCAGCAGGTGGAACCCCCTCTCCCTCCAGTCCGGGAAGCGGCGCCTCGCAGAGCCCAGGCCAGCGCCCGGGAAGGCCGCGGGCAGGCGGGGGCCTGGGGCCTCCCCCGTGAGGGTCGGCGCGCCAGCTCCCAGCCCCCAACCGTCAGGAAGACATCCCAGTACCGACCCCATCAGGGTAGGAGTAGCCGGCGACCTGCTGGGCTCCGGGCGCGCGACAGACACCCTGTGTCGCTCTGTACCCAGGCTCGCCAGGAAGCCACCAAGGGGCCTCTGTGCCTGCCAGCCCCTGGTTCCCGCCCCTGCGCCAGCCGGGCTTCTGCAGGACAGCTGCATGTGACACTTCCTGGGAACGGGGGGACACCTTCCCCTGGCTGTCTGCCATGGACCGAGGGGGTCACCGCCGGGGAATCACCCCTCCTTGCCCAACACCTGCCCAGGTGGGACACGGCTCTGCCTGTTTCAGGTGCAACCAGGGAGGGTCCACGCAGGCGAGACACGACAGCGCTCCAGCTGGGACACCTCGCCCGCCAGCCGGCCCCTCAGGGGGCGGTGCCGACGTCGCCCGTCCTCTGGTGAAGAGCCGGAGGTTCGGGGTCCCCGGCTAGAAAGGCAGGGCCGGGGCACCCAGCTCTGCTCTCCCACGTCCGCCAGATGCTCGAGGCCGGACCCCGCCCTGACTGGAGGGAGGGGCCGTCCCCCAGCCCCGGATGCGCGGCCCCACGTGGGGGGCGGCCCGCTGGCCCCACCCGGGTGACGGGACTGGGGCCGGGAAGCGACCACTCACCTTCCCGAAGTCTCGGACGTCGAAGAGGTCAAAGGGGTCGAACAGCTCGCTGTTTCTCAGTCCGAACTTGTCGTGGCAGACTTTGAGGAAGGTGCGTATGTTCTTCAGGCACAGGAACTGGAGGAGAGAGAGGAGGAATCATTGCTAAACCTGCAGGTCTGTAATCATTGCCGCAGCGGCGGCAGCGAGCTTTTGGTTCTGAGCGCAGGGGCACGTGGCACATCCCCGCTCCGCGGGAGGACGCGGGCTCAGAGAGCTGAGGACGCCCCTCGCCAGGGCGGGGCTGGCGGCCGGACTGAGCGGCTGGGGCTCCGTGCGCTGAGTTTTAGCCACCATGGGCCCCCGGCGCCACGTCACAGAGCCGCCAAACCCGCCGAGGCTTTCACGCCACTCCCCGTCCTGACTGTCCCCACGGCCAGACGGCACCCAGCCCTGCGTGACCGTCCAACCCTCCCCTCCAGGTGGGCCGGCACGTTTCCAGGCTGACGATCACGGCCGGAGCAGGACATGCTATGCTGGCATCAGCAAGGACGCTCGAGCACGTGTGTGCACACACCCGCCTAATTACAGATGACACGGCCACAGCCAGGAACCGCCCCACAGGAAGCCACGGCAGACCCAGGGAGCGGCAGGTGCCAGCCACAGGGGCAGGGCTGGGGGAGCGGAGAGCCACTCAACACGCATGGTGGCTGCCCTCCACCTGCCGTGCCACCAGCCCGCTGAGCTCCCGGCCTGCACCGGGCTTGCCGTGAAGCTCGGGCAGGGGTCATGGCGGGGGGCAGGGGATGGAGTGGCCGTCTTTGCAGTCCTCGTGGGGAAATAGCTGGTAAAGAAACTTTCGGGGCAGCAGGTGAGGTTGCCCGGAGTGCAGGCTCAGGAATTGCTCAGTGCCGGGGTTTGAATCCTGCTGCCGGCTGAACACACGAGACCAGGGACAGCTTGCGCCAGGCCTGGTCTCCCACCATGACCTCCCTCAGCGCGTTAATCACCAGCCCTGGCGGCACAGAGTGGGTGTCCCCAGCTCAGCACAGCGCTCCGCAGGCAAGGACCTCGGCACACGCTGCCGGGGTACCCCAGGACTTCAGACCAGCCCTTGTCGTCCGCAGCCATCCACTCAGCACGGCTCCCAATTTCGAGCGCAAGGCAGAGAGCCTGGCCTGCTCACCAGAAGTTCTGACAGATTTCGACGCAGGACGGGGAGGAATCAGGGTCTACAGCATAAACTTGCATGCGCCCACCCAGTAAGTCAGGCCGCACTGAGCTGGCGGTGCCCAGTCCCACCTGGACACACCCCGGCCTACCCCTCGCCCCCCACCCCGAGTTCCCCCTGCCCCGGGCCGTCCCGCCCATCCTGGCTGGGGTTGGTCACTGCCCTCTCGTCTGTTCCATCTCACAGTCGTTCCCTGTCTCTCCGTGTGTGTGATCATGTGCACGATTTTTCAGAACACTCGAGATCAACCGCAGACACGATCCTCTTCTACCCCTACGTACCCGAGTGTGTCTTTCCCTAAGAGCAAGGATTTCCCCTCCATGATCACAGCACCAGCGTCAGAATCAGGACGTTAACAGGGACACCACTCGGACACCTGCCCTGTGGACCTGACTCACATTTCCTCAACGCACACAGACAAGGGACAACCAAAACGTTATTTATAGCAAACAGGGGGATAAAAAAACCCGGCCCAGGGTCCAATCCAGGACCACACACGGTTTTGACTGTCATGTCTCTGGTCTCCGCTCACCTAGCACAATATTCTCCAACAGAACTTTCCGGAAGGATGAAAGTGGACACCCTGCGTGGTATCCGACAGGACGCCACGTGTGGGCATTGGGAGTGCCCACCAGACACGTGCCCAGTGGGCACTGGACAGGCGGCTGGTCCACCTGGAGAACTGACGTCCTAACTTAATTTAGTGCTTACGTTAGCTGTTAAAGCTGCACGAATCAATAGCTAATAGCTGCTGGTTGGGACGACGGGATCTAAAACAATCCAGAGCCTTTGTCTTCTAACGGCCTGACAATTCTGAAGAACAAGACGCAAAAGGATAAACGCCGTGGGGTCTCTAAACAGCCACGATTGTGATGTCACCTCCGCCAGGTCCCCAGAGTCCCCAGAGACAGGGACTAGGAAGGTGGGTGCCAGGGGCTGGGGGAGGGGAACGGGGATCCGAGCCTCATGGGGACAGAGTGACAGTTTGGGAAGACGGAAAGTTCCGGAAACGGAGGGTGGTGACGGCCGCACGACAATGTGCATGTGCTCAATGCCACAGACTGTGCTCTTAGCGACGGCTAGGATGGCGTATCTATGGGACGCGCACTGTAATTAATAAAAGAGATTAATTAGAGAGGGAGACGTGGGGACAGAGCCACAGGGAGCGCACGGGACCATGGAGGCTGGAGCCACGCGGCCACGGCAGCGCCCGCAGGGACGGCCGGCAGCCCCCGCAGCTGGCGGGCGCGTGGCAGCTTCTCCCCCAGAAGCCCCGAGAAGACAGGGCTGCGGCCCCTGGTTTGGACACGGGCCCCGCGCCGTGGGACGGCAGGAGTCCGTTGCCTTAAGCCCCCAGGGCTGTGGCGCCGGTTACGCACGCAGCCCAGGACGCTCAACCCTGGCCGGCCTGGAAGCCGTGGTGCCAGGGGGGGGTCTACACGGCTGGAGCCCCGGACGCCCCCCGAGGCTCAGCTGCGTGGCGGGACACGGCGCGGCTCCCAGCCGGGCTCGGCTATTTTTTGCACGGGGCTCATCTCTAATTTGCACGAAGCGTTTATTTTAATCCCTCCTCAGCCTCCCATTTTAGAGTTAATTACACGGTTCCCGGCCATAATCACAGCCCGCGAGGCTCAGAACGCGCGGTGGGCTCGCCCTCGGCCCGGCGTCTGCCCTGCCCGGCCCAGCCCAGCCCCGGGCACTCTGCCAACCTCGCCTCCAAGACCCCCGTGGGCAGCCCTGCGCCACTGCGGGCACGCGGCAGCCCCTGAGCCCCGCAGGCCCCCGCAGGGACGGGGGAAGAGCCAGACACCGCCCAGCTGTGCCCTGAAGGCAGGACTCGCACTCGCTGCCTCTCTTTGGGGTGTCTCCTGTGCTCTGCCTGCCCGGTGCGCTTATTCTCAGCTTCCTACAATTTGTCCCATTTTACACAAAGGGAAACTGAGGCAGTGGGAGTTAAGGACTCCGGCACCGGGCAGGAAGCAGCAGAGGCCAGAATAAACCCTCGTCAGCTTCAGGCTGGAGCCCCCGGGAGGGCGGGTGTGTCCAGGGTGTCCCTCCTGCTCTGCCTGTGCCCTTGACCCCCCTGAGTGGCCGGTCTGAGTAAGGCAGGGGTCACCAGCGGGTACGGGAGCCTCTCGGTCCCACACAGCGGGGACGGGGATGGGGTGAGAGGATGCAGGGCAGGCACCGATTTCTACGCAAATAATAACTAGCGGGTGAGAGGACGCAGGGCCTGCCAAAGCTGCGGCAGGCAGGCCTCCACCGTGTGGGACCCACCGAGGACACAGGCTGAGGGAGGCCCAGACAGTGGCCAGCGCCAGGCCAGACACTCCGTTCTCGCCAAGCCGGTGGGGCGGGTTTGGCCGTCGCCTGTGGCCAGCGGAGGCCTGGACAGCAGCGCGGAGCAAACGCTCGTCCTCAGCGGCGAGTCCAGCCGAGCGGCCGCAGGCAGGGGCTGTCCCCAGCTCTGCTCAGGCCAGGGCCGGGCTGGGGCAGCACTGCCTGGCTGGCGGGCTCAGGGCCCCACTGTGTCTGCTCAGGGCACTCAGCGGGGGTGCGGGCTCCCCAACTCCCGCTCCCACCGCCCCTGGGTCCCCCGCCGTCCTGCCTGCGGGCCCCACGGCATCTGCTGGCGGAGGTGGGGGCGGGGAGCAGCCGAGGACACGGAGCCCGGCCTCTCCCCTCCGGCCATTCAGCGGCCACCTGCGAGCTCGCCGGGCTGCAATCGGATCAGTGCGTGGGCAGGCTCCACGCCCGGCGCCGCCTCCCGGGCTCTGGGCGTGCCACGCCGAGGTCACCTCCCTCTGGCAGCTTTGACTCGACGTCCCGTGTTGAGGAGGTGACGCCAGGGACAGCCCCTCCCTGCCCTGCAGAGGAGCCGACCGTGCGTGGCAGCTGCAGGCCACAGGACCCTCCCGCCACCCAGCCTGGGCTCCCCCACACTGCAGGGAGGGGGCACGGGACAGGCCCACCTGCCTCCGGAGCCGACACCCACCGCCCCCGGGTGCTCACACACCTCAGCACTGAGAGGTGGGTACAGAAAGGGAAACTGAGGCCTGGGGCAGTGAGGCCACTTGCCTGAGGTCACAAGTTAGCAGGCTTCAGCCAGGGATTTGCAACTTGAACACAGGTGGCCGAGGCACCGACCACTGGGCCACGGGGAAGCAGTGACAAGGGAGCCAGGTGCTAACCATGTGCCAGGAGTATGTCAACACATGCCAGTGACCAACCCATCTAAGGCTGCGGGGCCCAGGGAGGGCACAGTGTCACTGCCCCATTCCACAGACAGACAGACCGAGGCTTGGAGCAGTCGGGTCATGAACAGGCCCAGGGTTCTGAAGGCAGGCTCCACACGGCCTCGGTGGCTGACCCCTCGCCCCCGGGGCCAGGTGAGAGGGGCATGGCGCCCAGGGCTGCCCTCTGTGGGGTGTGGCTCGACCCCCGGCACAGCCCTGGCTCCGATCCGTCTCCCCTGGCCGTGTGACCTAGGGCAGGTCTCCTCCCCGACTGTCTGGAGTCCCCGGGACTGACTCACAGCCGTCACACGAGCTCCCCGGGGCCGGGCTGGGGGCCTGCTACCCTGCTCACCGCCACCCGGAGTGGCCACAGCAGTTCCCAATTTACAGACGAGGAGCTGAGGTCCCCAGCTTACCTGGCCCGCCCAAGGTCACCAGCAAGGATGTGGCCGTCCCCACAGCTCTGGGATGGTCTCACCTCCAAGGCCAGACCACTGACCTTTAAGCTATGTGTCTATAGGTTCCTGAGCAGGAAGTAACATGAGTTTTGCTCTTTAAAGAAGAAAACAGCACTTTGAGAAGGAAAATCAGGCCTGGGCAGAGGTGATGGGCACACACTGGGGGCGTGACGGGCACACACTGGGGGTGTGAGGGGCAGGCCCACACATGGG